GGAGGGGCAGAAATTTTGCCACATTTCTCAAATCAATAAACCAGCAGTGGAAAACTGGTTGTGTCCTGAAAGACAAAGGACTCTTCCCTTCTATTCTCCTGGTTTCTACAAGGCATCTACCCACATGGCTGGCAGGGCCTGGGGAAGGGAGTTCCCTTCCTGCCCCAGCTCAGAGAGTGGTGACATTCTGGGCGATGCCAGGACAAAGTCTTCCCTAGACCTAGAGCAGGGCCCAGGGCTTTGGGTAGAGAAAGGAAGAAGAGTCTGGGCCTGGGGAGATCTGGGCCTAATGCTGTGCCCTGCACATGACCTGCCCCCACATGACGGGCACCCCCATTTGACCAGCACCCCACATGACCCTCATACCATGCGATTGGCACACCACTTGACTGGGAGTCTTCATCTTCCTGGCCTAGACACTGTACTCTAACCCCAGGGTTGCTCTAAAAAGGACCAAAACTGGCCCTGGTGCCATGGCTTCAGGGTGGCCTGTTCAGCCTGGAGAACCAAGCCCAACGCCTCCCGGGCAAAGGCTTCTGTAACAAAGGGCTGCAGAAATCCCAATCGAAAGTGTTTCTCAGCGTGTTTTAGGGTGTGGAGGATTGTGTGAGGTTGGGCACACGTGGTGCAATGCAGGCCAGATGACAGGGAAAAGTGAGAGCAAACGTGACGCGTGTGGTCCCTGCACTATCGCGTTGTTTCCATGAGAACGTGCCCTCACAGTGTTCGGTTGTGGGTCTCACCAACACCTGGCCACAGCCAACAACAGATGCTCAATGAGTAATTGTATAGTGAATCAGGAGATTAATCCTTGAATTGTCCAATAGAAATATAATGGGACCCGCAAATGTAATTCTAAATTTTTAGTGACCATATTATAGTAATAAAAAAGTGAAATTAATTTTAACATATTTCATTTAACCAAATATATCCAAAATGTTATCAAAATATAATTAATAGTTTAAAATACTAATGAGGTAGTTTATATTCGTTTATTCATATTAAGTCTTCAATTCCCGATGTGTATTTTTCACTAAGTACATGACTAGCCACATTTCAAGTGCTCCATAGCCTCAGGTGACTAGTGGCATTCATATTGGCCAGTGCTGATCTAGACTCTGATCTTCTAGATCAAAGGTAGGGCACTTGCCCAAAGGTATGGGCAGTCACTCCAGCCAAAAGGACAGTACAGGACATCAGGATTCTGTGGGGGGACACCACCATGAAGGTCAAATGCATTCTCATAACTTTCTTAAGTGCTTACTCATTAGATGGCTTTGAAAGGCCTCCATGGAGGATAGGGGAAGCCTCTGCTCTCCCTAAATTCTTAGTCCACCTGTCCTGCCTCCTCACTCAGTATGACTACAAAGTTGGAAGAGAGAAGCAGCAATGAGTGGCATTTGTTCTATGGTCTGTAATTATTCCTCCCCACTGTCCCTCAAAAAAAAAAAAAAAGCCTGCATTTAAAATATTTTAATATATTAGGCACCTTTCTGTGTTACACCTGAGCATACACCACAATCTCACATAATCCCTGATTTAGGCATTTTATTCTCTTTGTTCCAATAGGGAAAGTAAGGCTTGGAACAGTGCAGCGACGTTATGGTGAGAAAACTTTGGGGAAGAAAAAAAGTCTCTAATGAAGTCCCATCCATTTTGTCCCTCAGCGAGGTCCCTTATGGAACGTGTAGAGAAGGTTGGGCAGTGGAACTGTGCACTTCAGACACTAGAAGCCTGCATCAAAGCAAATGGAACATCCCAGGGTATCTAAACCCACAACAGTAAAACCTGGGTCATCCCCAGGCAGTGACACTTACTAGCTGTGTAATGTAGGCCAAGGCAATTCTTAGTAATAATAAAACCCAGCATTTACCGATCTTCTCCCATGTGCAGGCTCTGACCTAGCTAATTGTTCATAAATTTCTTCTTCCTTACAAAAAGCTAATTCATTTCATAGGCTAGGAAACTGGGGCTCAGAAAAGGCAAATTGCCAAAAGTCATGCATCCAGTAAACAGGATGAGGAAATATATTAAATGTATTAATGTTTGCTCTGTAAAGTAACTTTAACCCCACCCACCCCTCAATGCATATTTACTAAGAATATCACTAAAGAATTTCAAGACTATCAGTATACATGATAAAGAACAGCATATACCTGTTATACATCTAAAAGTTTACAAAGCATAGGCAAATAGGAATTAGTTTCAACGTGTTCTTTTTAAATTCAAAATAAAGGCTTTGTTATTCATTTGCAATGTTGTGGTAACTTATCAAAACAATGAAAAAAACTGGGCTCTCAAAAGAGATAGTGATGCAGTTCAGCTCACGGGGCTGTTGTAATCATCTAAGGAAAGGAAGAGAAAAAGTGCTTTGAAGGCATAAAGAGGTTTAAAACAGCTCCTATAGAGGTGACAAATGTCAGATATTGCAAACATGTTAGAGCAAACTGCAGTTATATTCTAATACGAAATGTATATAAAATACATTTCAGTCTTTTTTACAAGTCTGCAGCTTGAAAAAAGGAGTAAACAAGTAAAATACAAGTAGAAAGAAATGGAAGGGAAATAAAAATGAAAGAAAGATCAATGAAGAAACAAAAAAAAATAGCTGACTTTCTTGAAGGAAAATAGGAGAGAGGAGGTGGTAGGAGGAGAGAACAAGAGAGAAGGAAGGAGGGAGGGGAGGAAAGAGAGAGAAAGAGGGAGGCCAGTGCTATGAAAAATAAGCCTGAATTGTTGGGGTCAGGCAGTTTCTTCAAGAAAAAGAAACTGGCCATGGCCCCCTCGGCGTTGAGGCTGGGTACAGTTTTTGCAACTGTTTAGAGAAATCTAGTGCTCTCTCCACCATTAATCTTTTCTAAAGAAAGACTTTGTTCTGCACCTGTATAAACAATCCAGATTTTAAAAACCTATATGCCTGCCCCTAATGTGTGAGACTATGTATTTATACTGATAACTTCAAGTCATCAATAGGCGATGCAAAAAGCCAGCCTGAGAACTCCCTGTTAGGTCTTTTTGCTCCCCCTTGTCTTTCTCCCCTCCTTTGCCTAGAGTGAAGTTCAAGTTCAAGCGCTCCAAGAAAGATTTCCACACTCTATCAAGTACTTGCTGCATTTCCCAGCCCAGAGTAAAAAGGATCTTTTTACTCAACTTGTCCCAGAATGAGCCAATCCCACACTCTCACCCCCACCAAAAGACAAAATGTATAGGGAGAAAGCCTTTGCAGTGGGGGTGGGCGGGAGGGGTCGTGGGAAACATTCCCCACGAGGGAGGCATGGCTTGGGAGACGAAGGTGGAACGATGCCTCAGTGATGAAGTCAGACTCGGCCAGCCACCTGTTGCGGCACTTCAGGCACAGAGCCGGGTGCATTTGTCCTGCTGTAGGATCCCGCAGAGCCAGGCGGTGCCATCGGCTTCTGCCCGCTCTGTCCCAGGACTGAGTACACATCCATCCTCTTGCACCTCACTCAACTTGGGAGCCTGTGGACTTTTGGGGGAAAGATAAGTGAACACTTAAGATGGGTGTTGAAAACTCACTTGTTTCAGTGTAAAACAGAGTAACCATAACCCAGCCTCCTAGAGATTTAATTACTCATTGGGCTGTTCACATGGCACTGAGTCCAGGGACTGGCATACAGCAGGCCCTCAGCCGCTGGCCATTGGTGTCCATTTCAAAAATGAAGTACTCATCACCTGACCACATAATGCAAAGTCCTTGGAGTTAGGAAATGATGAGACTGCAATTTTGTTTTATTTCCTTTGAGGGGAGGTACAAGGTGTTGTATTTTTGATTGAAATGGGACATGATCATTGTGCGCTGCTTTGCCGTTTTTTACTTTAACTGGACGAATTGCACTGATTTAGCATTCTGCATCCAGGAGCTTGCTCTTCCATACATAATCTAAAATAATAATGGATTTCCTACGCTGTAATTCAAAGCATTAGGGCAGGATCCTCTATCATATACGTTATGGTATTAAAAACAAAATCACGAATGGAACTCTCAAGACAGCGCAAAACACCAAATACAACATCCAGTGGTGTGTGGTGGGGCGGTGTGTACGACTGGGACACCGACGGGCCAGGGATTCGAAACATGGATTTTGAATCCCCTTTTCTACTTACCAGCCTGGTTATTTGGGGTCCTTCGCTTAACATCTATCTACCCGGTTCAGTTTCAAGTTCTGCAAAGTGGAGATATTTAAGTTACCGATGTTGTTGGAAGAAGAAACGAACTAATGTAGAAAAAGTGCTTTGGAAATCATAAAGTCATTTTAAAGAAAAAGGAGGGGCAGGAAAACGGGAGGCAACTGTCCTGCACTGCTGGCTGTTTGCTCGTTTTGCTTGCTCTCTTCTGTCGGGCAAGCCTTGAATAAGCAGTCATCCATCACGAGCTGAACTCAGACTGAGTTGTGTGAGAAGACGGAGGGAAGCAGTGATCGGGATCCCGGGCTCTCTAAGTGTCTGGCAGTCTTCGCCATCGCTAAGACTAGTTGAGGGCGGAGGTGAAGTGGGTAGGATCAGGGTCGCCCCTCCACTCCCTCAGTGCTCTCTTATCTCGCACAGACATCCCGAGGGTCCGTCGGGCCTCAGGGCCCAAATCTCGGCTCTGCAGAGACGTCCCCTTCCCCCGCCCCCACCGACTGCTCCTCTGGCTCTGAAAAGCGGTCCCCACCCCTTCCACGCCCCTGCCCCACCCTCCCTTTTCCAGCCCCCTCTTCTTTGCCCTGGGTGGTTTGTTCCGAGGAGCGCAGATAAATAGTCCTGTCAAAAGGCGCAGCTCGCGTTTGCGCGCGCGGAGCCTGGATCCCGGCGCCAACTTCTGCCGCTGGTTCCCACCGCCCGCCGCGCTCTCGCGCCCCCGCGCCGCCGGGCCCCGGTCTGCAGTCCTCTCCGGAGCCCTCCCCGGTCCCTGCCTCCGCCAGGCAGCGGAAGGCTGAGACGGCGAGACTGGACAGAGGGGAGGAAAGCCGGCGTGCGTGGGCGCGGGGGACTCCGCGATGTCCACCGGCTCGGTGAGCGACTCCGAGGAGATGGAGCTGCGGGGGCTGCAGCGGGGGTACACGATCCCCGCCCCCAAGCGGCCGCCCCTCCGCGGCGCCGAGTGCAGCTGCGCCTCGCCCAGTGACAACTCGTCGGCAGAGGAGGAGGACCCCGACGGCGAGGAGGAGCGGTGCGCGCTGGGTGCAGCCGGCGGCGGCGGCGGCGGCGGCGGCGGCGGCGGCGGCGGCGGCGGCGGCGGCGGCGGCGGCGGCGGCGGCGGCGGCGGCGGCGGCGGCGCTGGAAACTGCAAGAGGAAGCGGCCTCGTGTGGCTGGGGGCGGCGGCGCAGGTGGCGGCGCAGGCGGCGGTGGCAAGAAGCCCCTCCCGTCCAAGGGCTCGGCCGCCGAGTGCAAGCAGTTGCAGCGGAACGCGGCCAACGCCCGCGAGCGCGCCCGGATGCGCGTGCTCAGCAAAGCCTTCTCCCGCCTCAAGACCAGCCTGCCCTGGGTGCCCCCCGACACCAAGCTCTCCAAGCTGGACACGCTGCGGCTGGCTTCCAGTTACATTGCGCACCTGCGGCAGCTGCTGCAGGAGGACCGCTACGAGAACGGCTACGTGCACCCGGTGAACCTGGTAGGGGCGCCGCGCGCGAGGCCCGGGGCGAGCGGCCAGCAGATTCCCCGGCAGCTCCCGACGCCGGGCTGGGTGGGCCGGCTGGGCAGAACCCGAAGGGGACGGGAGTTCTGGGACGGGAGATGAGGCGGCCAGTTTAGTTTCTCCCCACTCAAGGGAGGGGCCAGCAACTTTCCTGGAGAAGAATCTTCCATCCTTCTGTGTTTGCATCATTTCGGTGACCGCCATTGGCTAATATCCCTCTTCCGGGGTAACTCTTGGTTCCAACTGAGTCTACTACCCGGTTGCAGATTGAATGGCAAATCTCCCTCCAGCAATTTTTTTTTAGTTGAGTGTCTGGAAGGTTTGAATCAGCAAGCCCTACTTTCTTTAAAAGAAGGCCGAGCTCCGCAAAAGAGCTTTTGAATTTTGTAATCGCTGCAGGATAGCAGAGTTCGCCCAGAAGGGAATTGTCTGGAAAGTCCCTCTCTGACCTGCCAACTCTCCCGGCTTGGGAAAGATCATACCCAAGCCCAAGGAAGCCCCAGCTGAGAGAGAGTGTGTGTGTGTGTGTGTGTGTGTGTGTGTGTGTGTGTGTGTGTGAGAGAGAGAGAGAGAGAGAGAGAGAGAGAGAGAGAGTGTCTCTGTGTGTGTGTGTGTGTGTTGGGGGAAGGGGATCAGACAGCAAAATCCCGAACTCACACAAGTATCACCGAGTCACCGTGCGGGCAAAGTTCAAGAGGAAGAGTTAATGGACACCGCACGTCCCGCATAATCAGCATCCAGTAAAGTTAAAATCCTGGTTTAGAGAGATGACACGCAAATTCCCAGAACGCTGATGAAATCTGAGCTACTCAAAGCCAGGAGTATCTGGGGTTCACTTAAGAGAGCGGTTTCAGTTTGAGATGGTCGTTTCTCCTCTAATATCTGTCTTTTTGGTTTTTCAGACGTGGCCATTCGTGGTCTCGGGACGACCCGACTCTGACACCAAAGAAGTTTCCGCAGCCAACAGACTATGTGGAACCACCGCTTAGATCGGACTGGAACTCACTTAATGGAATTATTTGTTATCGTGTCTGGGGGCTACAGAGAGAAGAGAGAGCGCAACCAGAACCCCAGAGGGTGGGCAGAAGGTTCTACTGGATTCTCCTTGAGCCTCCCCCTTTCCCTGGAACTGTGAACACGACAGGTGGCAGGCGTGGCTGTCATCGCAAAGCGCCAATGGCTGCAGCCGCGGCGGATGTATGCGACGCTTCGCCTCCCCCGAAAGAGCCTCCTTTCGTGTCTTGTGTGGAGAGCAGGGACGCAGATCCAACCTCGGGCTTCGGCTCTGTAGACTAATCCCCTCGCCGCTGCAGTCTGCGCCCAAACCGCCTAGGGCTTAGTTTCCAAGCTGTGCCACATTTCTCATACATGTGGTGGCACGATTCTGCACGGCCCAGGCCTGGCACGGTTAGACAGTGGTTAGAGCACGCTCTCGATCCGCCTTAAACACAGAAGTCTCCACGTGAGACCCACGTCGGGGACTGTTTTTAAGTTGCAAAGCGAGCAGAGTGGCACATCTGGACCAGGGTCGTATCTCACCGGGCAGCGCCCTCCTCGCGGGCGGGACGATGCCTGCTGCGCCCTGGGAAAGGTGGACACGTGCTCGGAGACCACCAAGCGGGTTTGGCCAGATGCGCTAGGGGCGGGTCGCCCTCCCTGCTGCAGTCTTGCCTCTCACTCCCGCCAGGCTCGGGGCTCCTTCCCAAGCTCCCGTCTCTTACTCATCAGGTTTGTGTCTCCCCCTCTCCTAGCCTCCAGCTTCTCCAGCCCCCGCCGCCCCAACCCGGCTCAGGTCTCTTTTGGACCTCTGTCTCTTCCCCCTCTCGCTCCTCCCCGGCTCCAGACTTTCCCCAACAGGCCTCCCCCCATCCCCCAACACCGCCTCTGGGAGCCCACCTTCCCCGCGCGCCGGGTGGGCCCCTGGGACATACGTTCCAAGTGTCCCTGCTCAGGGGGAAGGCGCCGCTGCCGCGAGCCTGCACTACCACAGTAATTAACACATGTAAATAAATTTATTTTTTTATGAATAATAAAAGGCGTTGTGAAAACTGTGAGCCACTGGGCATGTTAGAATGTGGTCCTTGTTTCCCTTTACTGAGTTTGGTCTGGAAGTTAAGTTTAGAGGTGCTGGTCTTGTCTTGGGTCACTTTCGGTGGGATGGTGGCGATCACAACGTTTCCTAATGTCACTCTTACTAATCTCTATGATTCTGATCCTTCTCAAGGCAGAGTTTCCTGGAAGGCAAAAACTGGAAGTCTAATAAGGGCCCTAAGTCTTTTGAGGCAAGGCTGCGTTGAAAGGCATAAACTCCTCAAACTAATATGCGTACACATTTCTCTTACACACACACACACACACGCACACGCACACACACACACACACACACACACACACCACACTGCACGCTCACCCGCCGGAGTCCATGGGTCTGAAGTCGAACTGGCAGAATAAAACAGTAATATTCACATAGGAAGCCAATGTATATTTCAGCAGAACTTTTCTTTTTTCAAATATTTATATGGCATTTTTAACGTTCACTACCTCATTTTCCATGTTATTTTCTTCCATTTTCCCTGCAATTTTTGCAGGAGATAATAACTTGGAAAACCCATAATACAATTTTTACTTTTTTTTTCCCCCTAAAAGCAACATTCTACTTGTAGAACATTTAGAAAAGTGTGAAGGATAAAACTACCTAAACAACTGCCCAGTTTGGGGGTTTGTTATTTAATAGAGTTGAAAGGCAGTTTTCTTGACCAGACAGAGAAAATACAGCTGGACTTTAGTTAGGAGGTGAGAGTGAGGCAGAAAGCGTGACTTCCTGTTTTAAACCAAGCCATACCAAAACTCTGAAGAACTGCTTTTTGACACCATTTTCCCGGGCTTTTGTTTAGACTCCAGGTAGGAACTGGCCCTCAAGATCCAGTCTTCAGCTTCCAGATGCCTCACTGGGAATTTTCTGCTTTCTGACAAATGGAAACCCAAAGTAACTAGTGGCAGCAAACCCTAGCATGGCCAAAGACAGTTCAGCAGTGAGTTCTGGGTGGCCAGCTTCTTGGGGATGGTGTGTCTGCCTAGAGGCCAGATCTTAGTCAAGGTCATTTCCAAAGCTCCCAGCAAATTAAGTCCTTTTCAGAAAAAGGAGGCAACCTAGTATGTTGGTTAAGGAGAACCCAGGTGAAATCCAAGCTCTGCCACAGGACTAGTGACCACGTGCGAGTTACTTAATCCATCTAAGCCTCAGTTTCCTCATCTATGAAATGGAGGTGATAATGGTGCCTTTCTGGGAAGATGGCCTTAGGAATAAATACAGTAACATATTTAAGCAAACTTCCTAATATGCAGTGATAAGCATACTAAATGCTGGCTGCAAAAAGAAATCTAGGGGCAGAGGGAAACATACTTTGGCAAAGCAAGGCGGTTGAAACACGTGAAACATTTTGAGAGTCCAGTCTTTAAGACTGGGTCCGGTTTTGAGATGCCTGGATTACAGCTATGAAAGAGAAATGTAGGACAAGAGTGGACAGAGAAACAGAAGGAATAGCTATATTTATAGTGAATACAAATAAGAACAAGCATTTGAATAAACAAGGAGATATTTGGACAAATCTTCATAAGTAAAAGAATAATATTTAAAATATCTGTTTCTATAATTATATTCTCTCAGGGCACTTCAGGAGTAAACTCACAGATTCTGTCTCCCCCCCCGTGCCATTAAGGTGGTGCTATGACTCACAGGTACATAGAATGTTGGATTGTACCCTGTAAATTCATTTTTACAGCCATTTTATAATTCTATAACTTACAGAGGAGAAAATAAACTTTCTCAAGAATTTTACGCCCCATGATTTCTGTAAAATGTCCAATACCAAAAATTATGTTATTAAAAAGAAAAAAAGAAATAAGCAGAAAGGAGGCCAATTTCTACTAAGTCCCACTAAGTCAATGTAAATTGCTTAAGCTTCTAGGCAAAGGTTGCTGTTGGGAGAGGCCTTAAGCACCTACAACTAGTGTTTTCTTTCTCTAACATGACTATAATTGCTCTAAATGGTAAAAAGGTATTCCAAAGACTTAATTTTTTTTTCTCATCATTTTCTTTTAGGGATTTGGGTTTGAGAAATAGGAGTTGGGGCTGGAGAAGGGGGAGAGGAGGTTCAGAGTAAAAGAGAAGTAACTACATTCTTAGGGCTATTTCAATTAGATTATACTGCTGTGAGAGAAAAAATGAGGGGAAAAAGTCAAAGAAATATAATGTAAAAAGCACCGAATAACAAATAAAATGAGTAAATTGAAAAATACTCTTCAGGGGGCTTTCTGAGGGACCAAAGCATTATTATTAGTGATACTGACTCAACTAAGGAGAACAAAAATCCCCTTCCACAGACTCTTCCTAAGATGAATATTTTAAAAGAAATGCTTTCAGTACTGTAATTTTGAAACATTTAAGCATTTCCCTTGGTTGTGGATGTTGAATTGATTTTGTGCATACTCTTCTGCACTGAGCTTCAGGTTACAATCTCACTTTAGTCTGGTGGTTCCTTCAACAGACAGTAACAAGACCCTTACACTTTACAAAGGGACTTTTACAGGCACTGTTTTGGTTTTTTTTTTTTTTTTTTTTTTCCTGATAATGAATGCTTCATAAGTTGGAAAAAAAAAAAAAAGACACCCCCCCATCCATAAAAAGAAGAACTAAGTGGAAGACATCCTACTTTAATAGGTAATAGGTGGATAATTTGGTTGATGCTTGTGAAAAATATTAAAAAGTAAAACAATAACTCAGAAAGTCATTTTGGTCACATTTAGAAGGGCAAAATCAGGTGAATTTATAATTGACTTCTCACTACCAAGCAACTAACTTGAGGGAAAATTCACTAGGCGGCATGGATTGGCTCCCTTGGTAACTGAGCACCTGGCTACATCTCCTTTCAGTGCAAACTTCTGCACAGCCACCTGTGGGCAGCTGGCGTGTTTGCATTTTTGTGCTTAGCACTCTCCATCTCTTTCTATGTTCTGCTTTTGTGCTCTCTTCTTTCTCCCACAACAGTAAAAACTGATCCAGAGAAATCCTGCAAACCTATGATTCTAAGAAGGTCCAGAAAGTAGCCAGAGACAGAAATCGATGTGTAACAGTGTAAACACAATAAGCACAAGGTGCTAGTTATCTCCAATGATCTCAGCTTTCTTCCTTGTTGGTCCTGCTGTCACCCAGGTAGTTCTGGATCAGCTTTGGGTCCCTTCATTGCTTTTGGTATAGAGGATCATGGAGCAATTAGGAACAGGTACTTTCATTTGGTAAAAATATGGTATCTGTATGACTATTACTGAACTATTAGTGGAATGGGAGGGAAATAAGGAGCAAAGAGCAAAAAGCAAGAGGCTTTCACCTTTTACTTTTCTTTGTTTAAAAAATTTGTACGTTATTTTTGGACATTTTAAAACCCACTTTTAAAAAATGACTGAAAGCTGTCGGGTAAGACCTAGCTGGTTCCAATCTAGCTCCACATTTCCTGGCACTACATACTTGGGCACCTTACCTTTCCTCCATGAGACAGGAATAACACATCCTACCTCACTGACACTTTTGAGAATAGATTAAATAAAGTCATTTTATTACACACTTGGGAAATGCTCGATAAATGCTAATTTTTTAAAAAATCAAGGTCTTGATTTTCTTACCTTTTCTCTTACAATAGCTTAGGTGTGCTTAATCCTCAGCTGTAAATTTGTCCCATCGTTCCCTTTTGCCACTTTAATCACCTTGCTCTTTTATGCTACATCAAACTTTCCTATGTTGACAGCTTTTCTTTTTTTTGCCACTAAGGAGAAATTTTCATTTAGTTTTCTCTTAAAAAATAAAGATCATAACAGCATCAAAAAGTATGCATGAGATAAAAAAAAAACAAGTTCATTTCAGAGTGTGAGATAGATCAATGGATTTTGATGTTACAGAATACAGGCCATTGGTGCGATTTCAGATTCCACATTGCAGCCAACCTTTCAGAAACTACTGTTGTGGAGTTTTGGTGTAATACCTAAGAATATGCACAATTACCTGAAATGGCTATTAAAATACTTCTTCCCTTTACAACTACATCTATGTGTGAGCTCAATTTTCAACCAAAATAACATATTACAACAGATTAAAGTACAAAGCAGATAAGAGAATCCAGCTATCTTCAATTAAGTTGGGTATTAAAGAAATTTGCAAAAATATTAAACTGTTCCATTCTTCCCATTAAAATGTTTTGGAAAACATAGTTACTTTTATTTAAAAATGTTACTTTCAATTAAAAAAATGTTATTTACCTTCACATGTAATTAGTTTATTATTATTTTCAAATTAACTAATATATAAAAATTTTTGTTTGGTTTTGATTTCTAGTCTAACATTTCTTTGAATACTAGGGATAGGATGAAGTTGGTTCTATTAAACTATGTGGTACCGAGTCACCAAAAATGATCCCCAGTGAACCAGGCCTTCCAGAATTCATGCCCTTGCAGAGGGCTGGCCCAGTTCTTCACTTGAACCAATAAAAGGTGGCAGAAGAGACTCTGCCAGTTCTGGGCCTAAGCCTTAAGGACTGGCAGCTTCTGCTTTTCCTTATTTGGGACCCCTAAGCTTAGATATGATAAGTCCAACCATGTTCCTGAAAAGACCACAAAGAGAAGCCACATGAGAGAGAAGCCCTGAGACTATGCACAGGACAGTTGAGA